GAGCCCCAGGAGTGCAGTGGAACGAGGACAGCTGTCATGTTGGGACTACTCGCCCGTCTAGCCATACCAGCACCCTGCCAGAGCAGCTCCGATTACTGCGACAAGTGGCAAAGCTAACAGCAGTGCCAAGGCCATGAGACAGGAGGAGGACCTTTCGCCGTTCCAAGTCTCCACCTGTTGACAGCTCTTCATAAAGTCCTCCTCTTCAGCCAGAGGCATCCCTGCTGAGCTGCAATGGTTAATAACAACATAATAACACAGTAATGATTAAGCTGAAATCTTTATTTATTGCCTCTTAGACTGAGAACTAAAAGTGATCTCTGCTGCTATTGATCATCACTGTTTTAGCCCCCGACTGTGGCTGTTTTAAGGCAGACATAAGCAAACGTGTTAAAGGAAAAGTCTGCTCATATTCAGAATTCAAACTTCTGAAAGTTCTTTAAATATGAAATTATTACATTCTGTTCAATAATTTATAAGTATTTTTAATTCAGAGTAATTTTCATGTGAATGTGCTTTACTGGAGGCATCCATGTTTGTCAAAGAACACTACTGCCACCTACTGGTTTGTGACGTCACGGTGCGGTATCGGCTGTTGATCAAGTCCCAGTGCTGTATCTGGTGTTTGTCACAACGCACTATTATCCAAGTCATCTTGAAAACATTCTTCTTCAAATGTTGGCTACATATTACGGGTTTTTTCTCTGGCCAGAAGTTCGATGGCAAATCCTCCCTCTTCAAGTTGGCGATCCAACGACCAACCCGTCCGTGGAGGATCAGGAACCAGAAAGGGGAATAACTGTTTTTTTTTTACAGCATCCAGCTGCCATGCACGTGGGCATTGTCAGTTTCACTATAGCTCTGGTGAATTTCAATGGTGAAGTCCTCTGGAAATCTTCAATAATTGTTGTTGATTGCAGATGTGTCTAGTAGTTCCCATTGATTTAGCTTGTAAAGCGGGGAGAATGGCGCTAGGCTTACCGCACCGTGACATCACTGCTGGAAGATGGCAGGAGGGAGGGGTTACTATATTTGGGCAAAAATGGCCGCTCCCAGACTCAGTGATCGTGACAAAAATGATTTTTTTTATTTTTCTACTGATTAACACTAAATTCATTAAATCAGCGTGAACGTATTAGTTTTAGGTATAAATAATGATCCAGTGATTATTCCGTGCTGTCGGGACTTTTCCTTCAAACAATCTACCAGATGTCGCTATGAGGATCTAATTCTATTAGATATTCCATTACTTTTGCAAGCAAAGGACACCTTTTTCGTAAATGGAAATAAAAAGCAATCCAGAAAGGAAACTTAATATAGTTTCTAGAGTAACTTTTTATTATTTTTTTAAATTTCTCTTTTTTAGATTGAATTTGACAGATTGCATTCTTTTCAAATTGTGCTTTACAGATGACATTCTCTTTACTTTGGGGGCAGGAAGTGTTTGCTTGCGGGTTTTTCTACAGTCATGCCTTGTTTTTAGTGGACAGCTGTGTCTCATTTGAAAACGCTTCACTGCAGCTTTTTTTCATGCTGGCCTCCACAGCGGCGCAGGACATGCAGCTTCTAAACCAAAAAACTCACGCCTCCTCTTTCTCCATGGAAAGACTCGGCTCAATCAAAGTCTTTTTTTTGGAGTCTCATTAAAGATTTTAAACCTTGAGAACTGCATGATGGGAAACTTTTCGGTTCTACGTTTTGAGCTGTAAGGAAGATTAGAGTTTTGGCTTTTCGTCCCTTTTCAACATGCTTGGATGATAAATTGAACATTGCATGATGTAGCTAATGCTTCCTTTAAGAAATACTTTCTTATTATTTTAGACAGCAGCACACTTTCTGTTCTGTTTCTGCAGCACCTCTGAGTGTGTGTGTGTGTGGGTGGGGGTGTCCACCTGTATAGACAGACAGAGTGAGGACCATTTTTCCAATTTCACCATCACAATGAGGACAAGTTAGGACATTTTGCTGGTCCTCATAAGCTAATTTGCTAACGGTTCTGTTTATAACTAAGGTGTCAGTTGGGTTAGGGTTAGGCATTGGTAATGGTTAGGTTTATGGTTAGCTTTAGGGCATAGAAAGGGTTGGAAATGACTGAAAATCAATGGAAGTCAACACACGGTCCTCACTACGTATAGCAGAACAAATGTGGGTGGTGTGTGTGTGCGTGTGCCTGTGGCAGCTAGTGACAGCCACAGCTGGGACAGACTGAGGTCATAGTGACAAAGCCCTGCTTGTCTGCCTACATTGGTGTATTGGTGTGTGACACACACACATGTACACACTGACCCAGTCACCTCTCGCCTTCTCTCTTGGCTGCCCATGTGCAAACACACCCTAGCTGCTCTGGGTTGACGCAGAGCCTGGCGGTGTGTCTGAAGTTCCCCATAAATAGAAAGATCCACTCAGTCAACAACACACAGCTAGCAGACTGACCCCCCCATGACAACACATGGGGCTGTTTACTGCTCTTAATGGACATGTAGTGCAGTGACCTTTGACCCGCTGTGCCGCCAGTGACGCATTTATATATTCAGAGACATATGACTGTAGATTAATCAGCAGAATCCAACCTGCAGAGACTCTGGTAGAGCGTCATTCTCCACAAAGGTGCACCAAGTTCTAGAAATGCTGCTTAGTCACTGTTCCAGGTGTCTGGAAATCCCACTTTGCTACCAATAATTGAGCCTTTGGCTTCAGGTCTGCCTGCTAAATGCTGGATCGCACAAAGGCTACATGTCTTCTCATAAAGATGGCCGGTCAGTAGAGTCCAACTTATAAACGGTGAAATCAAAAACAATCAGAGCAGCTTCAGGCTGACTCAAAAGTCTTCTGCTTTAAATAATTTCCACAGCAGGTATTCTGTGGGGAAGCAGAGATGGTCAAAACTAGAGCTGGGCACTTAATTGCATTTGCAATATAATCGCAATTTACTCGTACTCGTACTAATCGTCTCCCGCTTCATCCAGAACCGGGTACCAGGGGCACCAGACTAAGCAGAGACTCCCAGACTTCCCTCCTCATTGACACCTCCTCCAGCTCTGTTGGGGGAACTCCCAGGCATAGTCTCTCCAGCGTGTCCTGGGTCGTCCCCTGGGCCTCCTGGTGGGACGTGCCTGGAACACCTCCCGAGGGAGGCGTCCAGGTCCAGGTCCACGTCCCCAGAGCCAGTTTAAGCGCCCGCGGATCAGGTCGCCGAGGTCTCCGCCTCTGGCTGCCGCCCAATCCTCTTTGCACCGGTCCCTCATGGTTCCCCCTGCAGGTGGTGGGCCCACTGGGGGATGGCCTCGCATGGCTCCTTTGGGCTGGGCCCCGCCGGGTCCCGCGAGGAAGAACCAGACCACCAGGCGCTCGCCGACGAACCCCAACCCCAGGCCTGGTTCCAGGATGGGGTCCCGGCTCCGCCGTACCGGGCGACGTCACGTGCCTCGATGTGGTCCTCGTCATTAGGGTTTTTGAACCGCTCTTCGTCTGACCTGTCACCCAGAGCCTGTTTGCCTTGGGAGACCCTACCAGGGGCATTTAGCCCCCGACAACATAGCCTCTGGGATCACCCAGGCACTGAAACCCCTCCACCACGTTAAGGTGGCTGTTCAAGGACTGGTATAATCGCAATTTAACAAAACCCAATTTTCTACTCACAATGGTACTCAGTTTTAATCACACTACATTTATCGAGGTTAACACACAACATTCCCCCCTCCAGCCACCTAAAGGGCTGGAGGGGGGAATGTTGTGTGGGGGACCACAGTAAAGTCCTAGAACAATGGACTCTGGGCAAGCAAGAAAGCTGGGGTTTTTAAAGTTTGCGGTTAAGGCAAAGGAAAATCGAATTCCAATCGCAATCTCAATTTTGGTAAAAAATAATCTCAATTTAGAATTTTGGCTAAATCATTCAGCCGTAGTCAGAAACCGCCTCTTCTCTCCTTCCTACATCTTGAGTCACACACAGAATGAGCTCCAAAGCATAAGCGATGTGATTTAAACACTTCAGTGTCCTTTCAGCTACGTCTTCCATCTGACCAAATGTTTTAAGTGTTTTATGGTTGTGATGTATCGCCTGTATAACCAATGGATACAATTACTAGTGCTATCATTGACCAACCCGGTGACGTCACTGGCAACATGGCGGCGCCCTTACCAAAAAAGTATAAAACAAAGCTTTGTTTTTTCTTTTACTTTTATATTTTTCACATTTGTTATATAATTATTAATTATAGCAAGACACAATCTCGTGAATTAAGTTATTTTGGTTGAACGTTTCCTTTCCACTTTAAGGGCATCAGAAATAACAACGCGCCTCTTTTATTTGGTACGAAATATCACTGTTCCTGCAGGCTTCTAAGGTGTGGCGCCTGCTGATCCTCTCCGTTCAGAAGCATCAGCGTCAAAATGGCGCTCCCCATGTGTTCCCCTTGGTAGGGTATGCTTTATTATAGAATGTAGTTAAAGCAGTCAGGCTGATATCAGGTTTGGAGAATCAGGAAGGGGCGTCACCATATTCCCTCCATCTATAACAGTCTGAGCTGTTTAGGTAAAACATGACCATAAAGAGCCGGTTTAAGCTTCCTTAATGGAGGAACAAGAGCTTGATCCTTAATACGTTCTATTATTATTATGCAGCATCTTTGAGGAAATAAGCAGACAAATTTTTTCGTTGACTACTTCTTAAATGTTGCACCTGGTGCTTTGAGCTGCTTTCCAAAGACTGACCGTGTCACTTTGGATGTGACGCACAGCAATCCTCTGCACAAAGTGCAGTAAACGTGTACGCTTGCAGTGTTCTTTATAATCAATTTTATTCTCCTACCTTTCTCTTTCACTTTTTCTTCTCTGTTACTTTTTACCTTTGTTCTTGAAATAGTTATTTTTTTGTGAAGCGGAAAGAAAAGTCGGGCTACGAAGAGAATTCTGCTTTTCCAAAAGAAAACAACCCTGATAAAGTGAAATTCATGAGGATTACGGTTCAAGTTCATTACCTAAACAATCTGCCTTTCTTTTAGGCATCCGATGGCATCCCTTTGAAAAGGTCCAAACTGGAAGACATCCCATCCAGAACCCCGCTTGGCGACAAAGAGAAGCAGCACGACTGGCTGCAGTCGCTGTCCTCCTCTAATAAGGTCGGTGAGACACGAAAGTCGAGTTTTTAGCTCCAGCTTTTAAATTAAAGTTGCTTAGTTTTAGAGTTTTAGATGTAGGGGGGTTCATAGAGTCCTGATGGGGAAGTCCGATCCTCAAAAGGATAGACGGTTGTTTACATCAAACCATGACCCTTTAATTTATTTCAATTAACTTTATTTCTATAGCACCAATTCACAACACATGTCATGTAAGGCACGTTACAGTTCACCAGATCACCCAGTCAGATTGATTCAAAGTTTTCTATCTAAGGAAAACCAGTTGATTGCATCGAATCATTGACTCTTCAGCAATCCCTCACACTAAGCATGCTTGTAGCGACAGTGGAGAGGAAAAACTCCCTTTTAACAGGAAGAAACCTCCAGCAGAACCAGGCTCAGTGTGAGCGGCCATCTGCTGAGGCCGACTGGGGTTCAAGGAGACAGAAGCAGAGATACACAAAAGGCAACTGTAAAAGGCGGCCCCGTCCTGTAAACACACATCCAGTTAGTCACAGGCAGAGAAACAGGGCTACACTGAAAAACAGGCTAATCTCCAACATCTATAAAATAAAGGTATTGACGGCAGCAGTACAGCTGATATTTTTCTCCAGGATGGATTCATTGAACTAACAGATTCTGCAGAGTGGGAGAATAGAGATAGAATGAAGCAGAATGATGAAATGGGGGTCCCTATGTCCTCCAGCAGTCTAAGCCTATAGCAGCATAACTATAGAGATAGCTCAGGATAACCTGAGCCACTCTAACTAGAAGCTTTTTTAAATACTAAAGTTTTAGGCCTAGCCTTAAAATTAGACAGGGTAATTTCCTCACCGACTAGAACTGGTATTTGCTTCCTTCTTTCACTCTAATGTGCTGTTGATGCTGTAGCTGCATGGTGCTTCTGGTTTAAAGTCAAACGTGATTCTTGTCTCTCAGGGGATGAACTGTCTTCAGCCCAGGCAGAGACCTTCAGCTTTCAGGCCATGGTCTCCTCACATCTCCGCTGGGGATAAAGAACCTTCGCCCCATCCTCTGGCTCTGCTGAGAGACAGGTGAGTCCCGCTCAGGACCAGGAGTGAGAAATGATAGAATCTGCTGTTTAACATCCAGCACTGAATGCAGCTCTTAGCCTTGATGTTGGGTCAGTGTACCAGAATTATGTGGGACTCTTTAGTAAAGCTTTTGAAGTGGCAGATGAACGAGCTTTGGTTCGACTGAACCTGCTGCATCTGGCCCAGTTTCTCTAAGAACAGCTGTAGAACTCTGCATGTGAGATTAGGAGAATTCAGTGGTGCAAAGTAACAAAGTTCATTTACTCGATTACTGTACTTAATTACTATTTTTAAGTATCTTTGCCTTACTTGAGTACTTTTTTATGGGAGGTCGGCTACTTATAACTGTACTCTACTACGTTTCGTTTTTCAGTTATTTGTTCCTTTTGGGTCAGCTTAGCTTTGTATTCTGCTGTTGCTGTTTTTATTTCTTGAAATCCAATTTAAAGATGCAGGATTGCAGCCATTAGAACTGAATTTGGACACCATTGTTTTACAGATTTGAATGACATTGTACAAATGTGAGAAACTCCTGTCAGATATTATTAGTAGTTTATGCATTTTATTAAGGTGTTAGTTTTTGCCAGGTTGTTCAGGATGGTGAGTTTTCAGAGCAGTTTTAGTTTCTTTGTGGTACTAGATTTAACCCCAAGCCTCTATTTCACAGAAAAAGTGTCAAGAGAATCGAGTCATTTGTGGCATTTTTATGCTGAAGTTCTTTAGAGGTGGTGTAGAATCAGGAGGAGGTGGAGGAGCAGGTGGTTTTATGCATCAATTCATCAAGTGCTTTTCTGAAAGTTCAAAGGTTATTTAAAATTACTCAGAAAATTGTACAGAAATGTTCTATATTAAAAAAAATAATTTGTATTTTTGAGTACATGAGTCATTTTAAATCCATTTACTTTTAAATGCTTAAGTGAGTACTTCAGTTCTTTTACTTGAGTAGATATTTGACCAAGTCACTTTTACTTGTAGTAGAGAATTGACTATCAGTATCATCCTTTTACTGAAATACTACTGATGAGTACTTCGTCCATGACTGTGAGACTTAAAGATCAACTGAATCATTGTCTTTCAGCTTCTACAACTACAAAAGCCTGGAGGATGCCGTGGCCCCCAACGTGGCCCTTACACCTCTCCCCATGGGGAAGGTGGGGCCCATGTCCCCATCTGTGCCCACCTCTTCCCACCTCAGGGTGGCTGAAGCTTCAGAAGAGGGCACCAAACCCAATTCTAGGCCTCAAAAGAGAAGGGCCACTGAGGAGCTGCTGGCACCAGAGGCCCCCTGCCCGCCACCCGCAACTGCTTGCAGGCCCCCGCCAGAGGAGGACAAGGATTCTGAGGTGGAGATCGAGGTGGAGAGTCGCGATGATGGTAAGGGGAATTTCCCGTATCTCTGATGACCGACATGTCCCAGAATGCTGCTAGACATTAACGTTCCTGATCTTGTCCACAGTCAATTCGTCCATATCGTCCCTGTCATCGCCGTCCTTCACTTCCTCCAGCAGCTCAGCCAAGGACCTGAGCTCACCCGGCACCCTGGGGCCAGTCTGCACCGTCACATCGGCGGAATGCTCCGCCTCAGCGGCTGTGCCTGTTGCAACCCCCGCCGCCATGGCGGCACCTTCAGAGCTGGGCCTCGAGTCGGAGCTGGAGAGCCTCAGACAGGCGCTGGACAGCGGATTGGACTCCAAAGAGTCAAAGGAGAAGTTTCTGCACGAGATTGTTAAGATGAGAGTGAAGCAGGAGGAGAAGCTGGGAACAGCCCTTCAGGCCAAACGGAGCCTTCAGCAGGTAGAGCTTCAGTCTTATTTCCATCGAGTTAACATGAGAGGTAAAGAAAATGCTGACGGGTCGAGTCTGTGTTCGTCCCACTTTTACCAAAATAGCAGCACATCCTCGTCCGAGTTCCTCTGTGGACGTGAGGCCGACAGGAGACAGAGTTATTCTTGTTAAGGGCGAGGTGGAGCTTGTTCCTCCTCTGTCTTTTCTTCAGAGCCAACAAAGACCAGATGACAGATGTTTTGTCCCAGTTGTAGTTTCCCATGAGAAGAGATGGGTGTGTTAAATCAACACCTTCACACTCTGTCAATGATTCAGAGGAAGGAAGCCTTCTGTCAGCCCACACGTCCACCCTACCTCATCACCATGCTCTCAGGTGGCTGGGACTGCAGTGAAGACAATTAAACCCCCACTGGGGGAGAGATCATTAGTCAGTGGGTAAAATGTGCACAATCAGGAACTCTACATAACTAACTAGTCAAACATATTCTCTCCCTTAATCACACTTTTAAAGTTAGAACTCCCTTTGGTACTGTGACCTTTCAACCTTCCTGACTCTTCGAGTCCCAGACGTCCAGTTCTTTACTCTCCTGGGTCTAGGAACTAGAATCACCTTTCATAAATATTAGCAGTGAGAGTTTAAGATGATCTTTCTTCTCATGCCTCCTTGTGAATGCGAGCCTCCAGTTTAAAGGCTGATATGTACTCTCGTGTCAGGTTTTCACGTCTGTCTGTGCATGCCGTGCGCAAGCTCATAGAAGCGCTCTACAGCTTTATAGTTGACGTGGATGTAGGTGCAGTACTTGCAATGACCACTGAGGGGCAGTGATCAACATATATAAAAAAAAGAAAAGAAACAGTTGACGTTCCACTTCCAAAACGCCCTAGAGCAGTATTGTTTAAGAATGATTATTATTGAAGAATAATAGGTGTTACACAGAAATATATGTGGAATAAAGTGGTAGGTGTACCTGCTGCACACAGAGACGTGACGATGTGGAAAACAGCCCTCCTGTCAAGCCCATACGGACCTTTCTTTTTTTTTCTTTTTTTGTATAACATATATAAAAAACCTTTCACTAAATAAAAGCTGAATGCATTGTAAACTATGGGTAGTTGTTTCAAACTTTATTTCTATTGTATGTGATGGAAACAGAACTAAGAACTCTTTTTTTACCATTTGCCATTTTCAGTCACTGAAGAATTTAACCAAGCTGTTCCAATTCAACCTTTTGCACCATTTGATGTCAGTAAAGGCAAAAATGTTCGTTGGGAACAACTTTATATCTTCCTATTTGGAATGAGGCTGTGGGCATATCGTCCCGTCCTGTTTGACGCCGCTACTAGGCTGTCAACTAGAGATGGAACGGTTTATGAAAACCGCCCGAACCGTTCGGTTCGACTGTCTCGGTTCGATTCGCGTGTGTTGCGTTCGGTTCATGCGCTGCTCCTTTTTCTCATAGGCGAAGCGATTACACTCCAGAGCAGAAGGTGGCGGTACTGCGACCAAAGCCAACCACCAGTAGTAAACAAGAGGAAGAAGCGAAGAGGCTTAGCCGGGTGTAGCAGAAAAAAATCAGTTGTTGTGGAGAATTGTGTGGGTATGGCGAGTGGGAAAGAACAGGAGTTGGAAGACGCGCCAGCAGCACTTTATAGGTCTGCTGTATGGGACCACTTTGCATTTAGAGTGACCTACGATGACGGCGGGAAGAAAGCTGTGGATAAAAGTGTGTGGTGTGCAAGCGTTGTGCAACACGTTTTGTTTATGCTAACAGCAACATGACCAACATGTCATGCTAACGACTGCCTGCTCAAAGCAAAGCCTACAGCCTCCACTGTGGCTCCCGTCCGCTCCGCTCTGAGTTCCTTGGAGATCGTAGAGGGCATGCGCCAGATGATTAAGTTCAGAGCAGCAAAACATGCGGAAATGATGCAGGGTTTCCGCGAATCATTAAAAATAATTACAATTCATTAATTATTTGGGATTTTTTTCATTAATTTCATTAATTTTTATTTTTTCATTGACTTTTATTATTTATATTAATTTTTTTATTTTTCGGTATAACAATAAACATATACCGAACCGAACCGTGGATTTTGTGAACCGTTCCACCCCTACTGCCAATAGTTAATAGTACAACCATCTCTAAGCTTCCTGACGGACATAATTGAACCATCTTGTAATTGTTCCCTGTGAGGTTTGAAGGAAAGCCGCCTCAGTGCCTCATGGGGCCACTGCCATGCTACACTGTAGGGGAAGCTACTCTGTTTAGGAGAGACTTTGTTCTTTCCTCCCCACGCACACCACGAAAACCTAAGCAGATCCAGTTAGATCCATGGCTCAAGGCAAATCCTCTAACCCATTTGGCTCATGGTGGTGAGTTTTGTCTTGTTCTGGCTCAGTAGTTGTCCACATGCTGGATTTCAGCCCCTCGGCCTTTAGGTCCTGTCTGTGGAACCTGCTGCCACCAAGTCTCACTGCAGTTTGTTGTTTCTCTTCTGGCCAGCAGGCGGCCCAGGTGCTATTCCTTTGACTTTAAACTGGTGAACTTCCATCTCTGGTAACATGCACAGGCTTTGCCATTTGTTTGAGAATAATCAAACATCAGTCATATTGCTCCAGATGTGCTGCAGCTCACCTGATTCCTCTGATAAAGCCTTTGATTGGTCTATTCTGGTGAGGCCGCCCCTCCACCTGAAACAGAAGCAGTTCTGCTCCGGACAGGGATTCTTTGTTTTTATTGTTTAATTTGAGTGTTTTCCTTGTTGTATTGGGTTTATTTCATATTTTCATTTTTTTTGAGGAAGCTCATTTGTAGCCGAGGTTGAAGAATTTGCCGTTATCTGTCAGGTGCACTGGCATTCTTGTTTGATCGCTGTCATCTCTTCTTCACAGGAGTTGGAGTTCTTGAGAGTGGCGAAGAAGGAGAAGCTCCGAGAGGCAACCGAGGCGAAGCGGAGCCTAAGGAAGGAAATCGAACGTCTTCGAGCCGAGAGCGAGAAGAAGATGAAGGAGGCGAACGAGTCCCGCATTCGTCTGAAGAGGGAGCTGGAGCAGGCGAGGCAGCTGAGGGTCTGCGACAAAGGCTGCGAGGCCGGTCGGCTCCGCGCCAAGTATTCCGCACAGGTCAGTCAGAGCTCGCTCACAGAGCTTCTGGGATGGCAGATACTATGGAAAACCTTTATCTAAGAAATGAAGGTGCCTCAACATGCTGTAAATGGCAGTGAAATAGATTCACTTCAGGGCAACAGGGAGGCAAGAAAAGATCTTTCTCTTCCTCCCTGTCAGAAATAAACGGGTGGAGCCCAGAACGCAGCGCGAGATCACTGCTCCTTGAAGAGGAAACAGGAAGAGACGTCAGCTTCCCTAAGGCAGCTTTAGACAAAACAGAGCAGAGACAGCAGCGGTCCCAGAGATGAGAGGATTTCTTTGCAGCCAGGAAAAAGAAGCGGATTAGGAAGTTAGACCAGCAAGATGTTTGGGCTGGAAGTGAGGCCCAAGCTCTTCGTCTTTGATCTGAGCTGCAGCACAAATGGAGCCAGGGAGTTCATCCTGGTCACCGTTCCACTGAAACATAGGAAGGAACGCAGTTGTATCAAAGTTCACAACTCCTAAATATTTAGGTTGGAGTTAATGAGGCTGCAGCGAAGAGCGCCTGATGGGGCTGAAACCTTTCTACTGAGCTGGGAGATGTGACCCATACGGCTTTGTTTTCCATCATCCAGGAAATGCAGCAGCTTTGGTCCATGTGATGATAAAGCCCTGTTGTTTTGGCACAGTTAAACAGTCCAGCCGTTCATCCTTCTATTATGAAGAACACCTTCATTCAAGCTCTTTTCCTCCCATAAATAACACACTGGCAGGATCTTTGTGTCACTTCAGCGTCACTCTGACATTTGTCTGGTTTATGTTAGCTGAAGTTGGCTGTGCAGTGGGTAGCACTGCTGCCTTGCAGCAAGAAGGTTCTGGGTTCGATTCCTGGCCTGGGGTCTTTCTGCATGGAGTTTGCATGTTCTCCATGAGCATGTGTGGGTTCTCTCCGGGTACTCCGGCTTCCTTGCCACAGTCCAAAAATGTGACTGTTATAGTGATTGGCTTGTAACTTGTTGGGCATTGATACTGTACAAGTAAAAGCTTGATTATTTTATGCAACAGGGTTCCAGCGGGTCCTTAAAAAGCCTTAAAAGGCATTGAATTCTTCAAAATAAAACTAAGGCCTTAATTGGTATTAAAATGTCTTAAATTAGTCTTTCGTAGGTCTGAATTTTTAAAACATCATAAATAGGTTTATTTTTATTATGATTTATTTTTGTAATCTAAATAAAATGTTAAAATTGCCAATTTTGTTTTTTTTAATAAAAACAATAAATAAATAACGGCTCGCCATTATTGGTTCCGTCCCGATAGCGGAACCAATAAAAGCGTTTTTTCGGCGGGACATTTGGGAGATGCGCCATTTACTTTTTGTCTGGAAAATATGAGCATGTATAAATGTAACCAAAATTGTCTCCAGCCAAGAGTTTTCTCCATGACTAAAACCAGGGAACATACATGAGACTCAGTGGATTTTGTGCAAGAAGCGATTAAAGCTCGGAACGATGGGAATTAAGGCAGTGGAGTCGCACATGCGAAACACGAAACACAAAGCGTCAAAATGGAGTTACCGAGAAACAGCCGGTATTTCTCAGTTTTGTTCCACCCTTGTCTCTGCAACGCCTCCACTTATCACCAAATCAAACATACTAAGAAAACCATACAAAGAAAAATAGCTGCAAAAAATACTTAGCACTGGTTATGTTGTGGCTTTAAAACTGATTTGTTTTGTTTCCTGCTAAAACAAAGTTTGTGAATTCAGTTAAATAATTTCTAAAATATATCTGTCATTTGTGTGTTTTTAGCTTTCTTCCTGTATGGGAAGCTTTTCAAAATTTGAAACATTAGTGCAGTGGTTTATGTTAAAATAAACCTTTGCGTTAAGTTGTCGCAAACAGGTTTTTCTTGTGTTTCTTGTGAATTTGGTCTTAAATTTTTATTTCAAGTGGCATTATAGTCTTGAATTTAACTTGCCTTATGCTGTAGGAACCCTGTGCAATATAGCAACTTGTCTACTTAGCAGAAGAAACAAAACTGTTTTAAATGAAAGCCAAATGAGGTTTTTAGACAAACAAGGTGTTTGTCCTTATTGTCTCTGTGTTGCCCTGTGATGGACTGGTGACCTGTCCAGGGTAGGGTGGCCAGATGTCCGGCTTTAGGGCGGACAGTCCGGATTTTCATTGCACTGTCCGGCGTCCGGCGCTGCACCCAGCCGGACGTGTATTTGTCCTCCTTTACTCCCAGATTCCACATACTCCGTCAGCGCTCCGCCCCGCTCGCGTACGGAGTACTTGTCTGTCATGTAAATCAATGAGAGCTGTTCCACATCCTCCGCTCGTCACCGCCCACGTACGTCTTCTCCGTCCTTCACCGTCAAAATACGGAGCTGAGCTATTTTTTGCTCCCCTCCGGTCCGTCCAGATCAAGACCCGCTATTGCAATCGCACCAAACAGAAAAAAGAATGTAGAGAAGACCCGGTTTGTCAAATTAAATTATAGTAAAAACAGATCGGTATCTAGAAATTAGAGCATAGTTTGTATATATTCCCAAAAACTAAGAGCAATTAATTAAATAATTGGATGCAGACTATTGGTGCTTCAACAGACCAGGAAGAAGTTGTGAGATTCTAGAGTGAATCTCACAACTTTAAAAGAAAATTCTTATTGCAGGAATGGATGAAGAGATGATGAGTTTGGAAGCAGAGAATAAACAGAGTTCATACAAACTATGTATGATCCTAGTTATCCTTGTTACAAAAATCCACAACAGAAAGAAAATATTTGGGCAGAAACTGAACATCTGCTGGATGATGATGGGGATTTTTTTAATATGTCAGATTCAATTAAGCGTTCACAGGTTTTATACAGGAATGAGGAGCTCTAATTTAATGCTCTTTTAATGCTATTAGAAATAATTTTAATGCCATCAACAAGTATCATGTACACAAGTTATTAGTTTACATGAAATAAGGAGCTGTAAGCACAGTTCCATGACTCAAGTTTATATATATATATATATATATATATATATATATATATATATATATATATATATATATATAGATAGATATATAGATAGATAGATATGGATAGATAGATATATAGATAGATATGGATAGATAGAGAACATGGTGAAATCATCTTTACTCTCGACAGGCTGCAGCCATGTCATGAATTCCTCTTTTCCAGCCACTTTTTGCAGTTTGCATCGTCCTATTCTCTAGCTCTTTCTCGAGCTTCTTTTCCAAACAACTGCTTTATGATCAATTGCAGGAGTTCTGCGCAAATTAATTGTGTTAAAAAAATGGTCACTTTTTAAACACCACAATGTATTAAATAAATACAAATGCTGGGAACCAATTCTTTTTTACATTTCTTTAATATTTTGTTCTATTCAGCTACACAAGCATCCTCTTTAAACTACTAAGAATTGTGCTATAAATGTGACTTTACCCGATTCTTATGTACACCTTAGTAATTTATTGATATGCCGCACAATGTCCTCCTTTTTGGTGCTATAGAAATGGCCACCCTGGACTCCAGGGTGGACCCTGCCTCTTGTCTGCAGATGGCTGGAGATAGGCACCAGCATCCAGAAAATGGATGAATAGATGGATGTTAGCTAAAGTCTGAAGCTGCTTCAGGGATGTTGTGTCTCTTTTCTGCAGTAAACTTCTGATTAAAGCTGTTTGATTTCAACTCAAATACGATCAAAGTTTTATTTCCGAGTCCTCCTGCAACTGACCTGTCATGTTTTTCAGATTGAGGACCTCCAGATGAAGCTGCAGCATGCCGAGGCCGACCGCGAGCAGCTCAGAGCCGACCTGCTCCAGGAGCGGGAGGCCAGGGAGCACCTGGAAAGGGTGGTAAAGGAGCTGCAGCAGCAGCTCTGGCCCAAATCCAACAACAAAGAGGTCCCTCCTAACAAGTAACGTGGAGACGAGCTCAGCACTCAACTATTCCCCCCCACCCACCCCATCATCGCTCTCATCCCACCAGAAACCGGACCCATGGCTCCACCCCCCAAAACGTCCAGATCAGTGTTTCCTCATCCAGACCTATGAGGGGAGAGATCCTCTTTAAACCAAACTCACCCCCTTCACACCCTTAGAACTGCAAACTGGATCCCAGTGAACAACAGACAAGAAGATGGAGCTCAGAGCACAGCTGCGTCTGAGCAGGAAATGAGAGCGGACTCTCATTCCGCACTAATAGCGGCTTTGAGGCCGCGGTATGACATTACAGCTGCAGCGTTGTTAGAGAGCGGATCAGCCCAGAGGATGGGGCCACCCCCCTAAACAGTATAATCGATCCGACCATGAAAGCGGGAAGAGGAAGCTAGTTTAGAGACTACATAGCGCCATGTACAGGACATCGTCTGTTTGTGGAAAATAATCCGAATGAGAAGCAACAGATTCCAGAGTGGTTTTATCTTCAGGAGGCCGACTCCTTAAGCTTCCTGTCATTCAAACAAATCTTTGATTAGGGAACGTTTAAAGGCACCTTTTCTGGTTTTACTGAGCACTTGTGTTGAACGGTCAGTCTGGAACACGTCTTCACTGGCCTCCATCGTTTTCCCTCCATGTTTCTCCAATGGGAGAGAGGCCTTGTAACATTTTAATGACCGACACCTGCTTGTCTCTTTGCGCTGGACGGACACTCTTCTTAATAACCACAAACTGTCTGTTTAATAAATTAAGGTTTGTACATAGGAATCAGTTCTTCTTGTTTTGTACTTTTACAGTAATGTATCGCACTTTGTTAGAACAAAATCCTGCATTATCCTCCCCGTATCGTCACACGTCGTTTCCACGCCAGACGCCCCCGGAATGAGGTCAGCTTTTTGTCGAAACACGCCGATAAACCGACTGCTGCTCTGCTTTCCCTCTGCAGAGTTTTGTAAATAAAAGCAAATGGGAGAAATGTCCCGCAGTCGTTTCAGGAAGTTTGGCGTGGCTCATATTCCTGTTACAGCAGCATGAACAAAAGTATAGGCGCTGATGTTGCTTTTTCTTAAATGGAGATACTTTTGTTGTTGTTTCTTACGTTCACATTTTATTTGAATAGATATCTCATATTTTGTTTATGCATGAAAAATGACAAAGTCTGCCATTCGTATAGTCACTTGTTGGGCATTGATACTGTACATGTAAAAGTTTGATTATGTTATGCAATATAGCAACTTGTCATCTCAGCAGAAGAAACAAAACCGTATTAAATGAAAGCCAAATGAGGTTTTTAATCAACTTCACACTTCAGGAGCAGTAAAAATAAAATAAAGGGTTCAAAGAGTAAAAAAAAAAAGGAGTGCAATGCTGGGCAACCTTAAGTGCCTAAAGTTGTGCTAAAGGTTTCCAGAGTCAGAAAGCTGATGGTGGTGCTGGCATCAATTTTCCGTTTTCACTTCAGAGTAAAAAGGCCCTTCTGTGATATGCGGCGCTTTAATCAGTATTTGCTTGAATCAGCCGTTTACAGACGCCTAAATGTGGGGAGCCATCGAACAAATGCTAAGAAGCTTGAAATTTTTCTTTTTTCTTAGTCATGTTTATTCTCGGATCATTTTATACTTAAAAAGATTGTTAAAAAGCCGCTCGTTTCGGTAAATTGTCACTATGAGTAAGGACTGATGGAAGCAGAGGATGGTGAACATTACAGGCGTCCCCTAACGTCACCGCCTGCTCCAGCAAAACTCAGTCGGTACATTTTTCTAGTCGATTTTACACCTCAGACTTCACATAATCTGAGTTACGGTTTTCTACGATGTGGGGAGGAGCTTATATTCGGCTTTTTTTCTATCCTGTTTGAAAGGAAAGAAAAGCAATTTAATGATGTCTTGTTTTCTAAAGGAAAATATTGTTTTTTTTAATCTAAGAAATGGGCAGCAAAGCAGCAATAACAGTCCTTATTAATAGGCCAGCTACTGGTCATGGTAAAGATTTGAAATACAAAATTACATGTGTAAATATCTGCTTTTCATTTACGATGTTTGTATCATAAATGTACATTTTTTTTTGTGTCGGTTTTCGAAAAAATATCTTTTCTTACAGCAGCAGTTTGTCTTTCCTTTTTTGTTGTGTTTGGATGAAAGTGTTTCAGGAAAAGTTGATGCAGAGGATATTACCTTTAAAAACACCTCTCCTCTTTTTTTTTATTACTACATAGTCTATTGAATGAATGTTTTCCATCACTCCATGTAGATTTTAGGCATCATATATTCGCCCCATGTGACCACCCCCAACTATATTGTTTTAGCTCTGCGCTGCTGCTGCTGATACATATACAGTTTTAGAAGCATTTTTTATGTAAGAAGCAAGCTTACTCATGTATTAATGCCACAGAAATATATAGTGTGAAAAAAAGCTTGGCTTATTCATCAATGTCCTTTTCTTCACCTTGTTTTGACATCTTCTCCCCTCCTTCAACAGCACCACTCCCTTCTCTAACAACTTGGACTATATTGTAAAGTAAAGGACTTTATGAAAAATATGTTTGAAAATAGCCATGCTTATATACTACAGTGACTGAATGTACAGTGTATAGATGCATTATCAGAAATAAAGTTGTTTGTCAAGATTAAATGATGAAGGATCTTTTTGTTGCCTATGTTGAATAATAAATTTTAATTGTCCTTCAATAATTGCAGATTTCATAAATTTATCAACCCGCTGCTGCGCCAGTGACGTTCATGGAAACAAGGGGGCAGTATACAATTAAACATTCATACTAAGCAGACAAATACTACTACAAGATGATGTTTTTTAATTCATGTTTGCAGGAAATCACAATAAACAACAAATATCAGCATTAAATTGTATACTTAATCAAATCGGAAATAATTATTCTAAAGCAAGAAGTATCTTGCTTTAAGTAGCCTACAGTAAAGGGTTCACAGGTGGTGATCATCTGGGGTGTAATAATGTGAAATGGCACAGGGAAAAAGTATTTATTAGGTGAAGAAAGGGAGGTGCACCAATTGAAATCTCTCAGTAATTACAAAGAAATCCTGCCTCTTGTCATTATACATTAATATCAGCTGATTCAGTGCCAAGTAAAGGCGTTTAAAAATGTGTCTGTGGTATCACACAAGAAACATCTCATGATGGGTAAAAGTAAGGAGCTTTCTCAACACCTTCGCAAACTTAATGATGGCATTGGTTCCAGAAGGATTTCTAAACTTTTGAATGTTCCAGTGAGCACTGTTGGGGTCATAATCCAGAGGTGGAAAGAACATGATTTCACCGTAAACCGACCAGGTACAGTACTCCTCACAAGATTTCTGACAGAAGATTGAAAAGAATTATCAGAAGCCTTGTCCAAGAGCCAAAGACCACCTTTGGTGGGCTTCAGACAGATCTGGAATTAGCAGGTACAATTGTTTCAAAGTAAACAAGTAATGCAGTTAACTGCCATGGCCTATATGCAGGTTCACCATGCAAGACACCATTGCTGTAGAAAAAGCATGTTGAAGCTCATTTAAAGTTTGCTGCACAACATTTAGATCAAAATTGAACTCATTGGATGCCATAAAACACTTCATGTTTGGAGGTCAAATGGCACTGACATCACACCAAAAACACTGCACCAATAGTGAAATTTGGAAGTGGGAACATCGGTGGTTTAAATCCACTAAAGTCAGACTGAAACTCTTCAAAAGGTTCATTATGGTGTAAGTCGTCGCACACTTCTTTGGCAACTTTTTCTCAAGAATTTCAGATAACAAAGGATGATTGGATATAGGTCTATACTTGACCAAGTCATCTGGGTCAAGAGACTGTTTCTTCAGTAAAGGTTTAATTACAGCAACTTTAAATGCCGGAGGTACATGTCCCTGTAACAGAGATAGATTAATCACATGTAAAATGGAAGAGGAAATCGGAGGAAATACTTAAATAAACTGGTTGGAACTGGAGCTAAAATACAAGTTGAAGGCTTAGATGAAGATAATACTTTTGCTAACTCTGAAAGTTCAACTGGATCAAAGCAGTCTAAACCTGGTTCAGATTCTGTGGCTACCTTAGATGCTGTTTCACTTTCCATAGATAAACTAATCATAGTTAGAGGAGTGCTAATTATCTTATTTTTTATAAGATTAATCGTATGTATAAAGAATCCCATAAAATCATTACACCTAAGAGCAGGTAGAATGGACGGTTCAACAGAGCTATGGCTCTGGGTGAGTTTGGCAACTGAATTAAAAAGATATCTAGGATTATTCTTATTCTCCTTTATTAATGAGCAGAAATATACTGCTCTTGCATTGCAAAGGGTCCTCTTATACAGCAGTAAACTATTTTTCCAGACTAGGTAGGATTCCCATAGGAGCACCATTTTCTCTACAGTTTCCTGGCATTTTGCTTCAGAGTGCGCAGGTCTGTGTTAAACCAAGTGCCAGTTTTCTATTTTAATGTTTTGCATTTTTCAAAGGGGCTGTGTTGTCTAAGATAGTCTGCAGAGAAGTAGCAAACCATCAACAAATCATCAGCCTGTGAAGGGGAATAAACTAAGCTTTTGCACTCTGCAGCACTGCTCAGCAACATAGAGGAGAAAGGGAGTGAAACGGGTTGTTTAAAATGTATAACTGCACTCTCTGATAAAGATCTGCTAAAGTGAACCTTCTTTTGGGGGAGGAGAACTCTGTTAAAGTAATCCTGAAGGTTATTAGAAAGTGGTCAGAGAGGACAGGGTTGTGAGGAAATAGTGTTATTTCTTCACATTGTATGCCATAAGTCTGCACAAGGTCCAAAGTATGAAGATGAGAATGTGTGGGACTATTCACATTTTGAACAAAGCCAATAGCGTCTAAGATAGCATTAAAGGCTGCTCTTAAGCATGGATTTTAAAATCCCCCACTATGATGACCCTGTCAGAATTTAACACCAAATAAGAGACGAACTCATAAAATTAATCTAAAAATTCATAGAGTAAGGACCTGGTGGACCATACAAAGGAAAAAAAAAGAAAATGTTTTCTTGCTTTGCAATTTGGACAAGGGAAACTAAGGGTTAAATTTTCAAAAGAGTTGTAATTATTAAATGCATTTGGAGTAATCAGTAAGTCAGACTGAAAGATTGTTGCTACTCTTCCTCCTCGCCCAGAAATTCTGGGTATGTGAAAATTTAAATAGCTTGAAGGAGTTGCCTCATTTATGCTCACATAATCCTCTTCCTGCAGCCAGGTTTCTGTAAGGCAACATAAGGATCTTATCACAAATCAAGTCATAAACTAAGTCACTTCTTGAGGCAAGAGATCTTATGTTAAATAAACATATTTAATCGTTTTAACTTTTTCCCCAATTGGAGTTATTTTATTTTAATAAGATTACCTTTTCTAATTTAATAGATTTTGTTTTGTGGGCAAGACACTGGATGAAGTAAAGAGTGGGTAACAGTAGAGAAGCTGCAGAGACGTGTGTTAAACTACCACTACCATACTGTACCACTCAGCAGCCAAAGGGAAATGACCAATGACTTCCAGCTCAAATTGGACAAGTGGCTGAATGGCTAATAATCACATGAAATTAACTTGCAGTCGACGTGTTTAATGTGTCCTTAATGTGTAGTTGACTCAACGTGCTCTCAACATGTCAACTACATGTGACAGATTGAAAGTCGAAGACAGCTGTTGACAATGAGCAAACAGTGCGCAAAACATGTGCTAATCATATGTTGTCTACGTGTCAGTTGAACATGACTTTTCATTCTGTATTTAGCCTGCAGAGGTCAAAAGTCAGTTCGTAGTTTTCAGTAAGGCTTTGAAACTCTTAGTTGGGGAAGTTTTCTCTATATTCTGTAAACTTTTTGGGGTCCAGGAGAGCAAGAAGACCAGTTTTTCTTATGATACTTCAACCTGGCCTTCAGCTGTGTGAGAACGCTGTCGAGAATGTTATTAGGCAGCCTTGGTATGCTGCTTACTCATCTTAAACTGAGACTTACACAACTTTTATTTATTTCGTTTTGTATACACAGAATGTATACAAAATGAAATTTTGTTTTTGTACAGCTTTCATGACATTATCATTCCTTAAAGTGCTGCAGTGATCAAATTTAAACAGTATGGGAGGGGAAAAACATGGTGCAAATATGCAGTGTTTTGGTTTGGTGTTGTCACTGTCAGCAGAGTCTGTGACATAATTTAGAGTTTTTTTTAACAGTTCTGGGGTTCGTTTCACAAAGCAGGTTTACTGAAAATTCTAAGTTGTCTAAAGCTGAAATATGGGAAACTCTGACTTTTCCGGTTGTTTCCTGAACTGTTTTAGTCACTATAGTAACATTCCCCGCCAGAGCTAACCTGGTTTGTAGCATGTTTTCATCATTAAACTCAGAGTGTCCTCTGTCTCCACTCTCCTTACAGCCAATCATGTGTTGTTTCCTTATTAAGTCAGTTTTTGGTCGTAGTTTTGTGCATAAATATACATCTATATATCATTCAATAGCTCCGTTACAGACATTAGGTTTTAAAAGCAAACATTGCATGTCCGTTTGATGAGGATCTATTTAAGAATGATCTGCAGGTTTTCACAGAGAATTAAATATGATAGGGAGAGGATTCTACAACTCATTTGACAGGGCATGAGATTGCTTGTTTTTGGTTTGTTTAATGTGAGTGTGGTGCAGATCATTGTTTTCTTATTTAGTTATATTTACAGTACATGAAGAACTACTGAAATTATTTTCAGATTACACATAAATAGATTAATTAATTCCGCAGGGGAAAAGTAATTACTTTAGCGTTAGGATTAGGATTCACTTGATGATAACAACCTAATGAGCCTACTGGCACAACCTGAAGCCATATGCGGCTGCAAACAGCCACTTTACTGTGTAAAAGAAGACTGAATCGACATGAGGAGGAACACATGATGATGCACAGGTTCTATATATTAGAACATTTTTAGACTTTTTCACCTCCTGCCAGAAGATTTCAACTTAATAGATACATTGATCTACTACCGTTCCAGAAAATATTTCGTAATATTTTCACGGTAAAAACACTAGGGCTTTGATCTTTGATATGTGCTAGTTATACTGATATCAGAAAAAAAAATTTTTTTCTTTGTCTAAATGACATTCTCCACATCTAGAATAAACATTCTGGATGTCTATAAATTCATTTAATTTCTCCTTATTCCTAATATTACTGGTCAACATTTGCCTTATTTTAACTATGAAAAATGTTTTTTTAGATATCATAAATACATGTTCAGTCAAGCTTATAAATGTCAGAATGGCAATTAAAATGTCTAAAAAAATTTATATATATTATACTTCATTCTTACTAGTATAATTATGTTTTTTTTACTTTCTAAAATTCAGTTTCTGCTACAAAAATTTAATTTAGAACATATATTATTACAATTATGTCTAGGAGTGTGTTCTTGATCAGGAATAATGGTATTTTAGTGATCTACAACTGGAACAAAAGAGAGGAGTGCTTTTAATAAATGTAAAAGGGCCTTCAATAGCACACTTCATACACTATATTGCCAAAAGTATTTGCTCACCTGCCTTGACTCACATATGAGCTTAAGTGACATCCCGTTCCTAATCCATAGGGTTCAATATGACGTCGGTCCACCCTT